GGAGCCTGCTTTGGATTCTGTGTCTCCCTCTCTCTCTGCCCCTGCCCCACTCATGCTCTCTCTCTCTGTCAAAAATAAGTAAACATTAAAAAATTTTTTTTAAAAACAAATGTGTCCTTCTGAATCCGGGTCATCCATTTTACCCATCCCCCACCTCCTGCCCTCTCTTAACCAGAGGGTCAGCACAGTTTAATTACTGACAATAAGGTTACCCTTGTGATTCATTTATTTCATAACAATTTTAATGGTTTTATCAGATAATTGTTGTGTAAATTTCCCCCAAATAATAGGATTTTTATTTTGATTACTTTTATCTTATAAATGAACTTGGAAGTTGAGGCACCTGGGTAGCTCAGTCTGACTCTTGGTTTCAGCTGATTTTACAGTTTGTGAGTTTGAGCCCACCTCAGGCTCTGCTCTGACAGTGCAGAGCCTGCTTGGGATTCTCTCTCTCTCTCTCTCTCTCTCTCTCTCTGCCCCTCTCTGGCTTGCAGTGTTTCTGTCTTTCTCAAAATAAGTAAACTTTAAAATAAATGCTTACATGTAAAAAAATAAATGAACTTGGGAGGAATTGACATTTTTACAATTTTTTTTTCATCTAGGTGTATGTATCTATGATGTCTCAATTTATTTAAGACTTCTCTTATGCCATTTAGTTAACTTTTTCTTTTTCTTTCTTCCTTCCTTTCTCTCTCTCTTTTTTTATTTGAGAGAGAGAGAGAGAGAGAGAGAGAGAGAGAGAGAGAGAGAGACAGCAGGAGCAGGGGAGAGGGGCAGAGGGAGAGAGAGAGATAACGGATTTTAAGCAGGATTCATCCTCAGCTTGGAGCCTGACGTGGGGCTTGATCCCTCAACCCTGAGATCATGACCTGAGCAGACATCAAAAGTCAGATGCTTGGGGCACCTGGGTGGCTCAATCAGTTTAGCGTCTCTTGATTTTGGCTTGGGTCATGATCTCGCAGTTTGTGAGATTGAGCCCTCCATCAGACTCTGCACTGACAGTGCGGAGCCTGCTTGGGATTCTCTCTCTCCCTCTCTCTCTACCGCTCCCCTACTCGGGCTCTCTCTCTCAAGATAAATAAATATTAAAAAAAGAGACAGAGAGAGAGAGAGTCACACACTCAACTGACTGTGCTACTTAGGCACCCCAGTAACTGTTCCTTTTTAAAACTCAGTTATGATCACATGGTTAAGGTATGAATACATTCTTATTGGTACACAATTAAAACATTATAAATAAGTTGTAATCCCAAATTTAGACATATTGCTTTCCCTATTCATAGTTATTGATTTTCAGTGTACCCCTCCAAAATTTTGTATGCATCTACATTTGTGTAAATATACCCAGAGAAGATGTATGGTATCATGTCCCAGTATTTCTTGGTCTATATGAATTGTATCATGTAATCCAATATTTGTGTGTGTGGTTTGCTTTTCATTTCTCTCTTCCAACAATATAGCTTACTTACATCTTCTTCTGCATTAGAACATTAGAATTCCCTCATTCTTTTAAATTGCTCATTTGTATTCAATAGAATGGATATACTATGGATTATTTATGCATTCTTTTAATGAATATGTAGGTTGTTTCAATTGCTCATGATTATAAGTAATGCTAAACCACAGCCTATCCATATCTTCTTGTGCATGCTTAGAAGTTTTTCTCTAAAGTAGATTTTGAGAGGTGGAACTGGTCAAAGGGTATGTACATATAAAAATTTGATTAAACCTGTCCAGTTCTTCTTGACAAATATTTTTTTTTCCAATTGAAATGCTCACTAAGAATATATAAAAAACTCATTTCTCATTTCACTTAGTATAATACACTCTAATTCCATCCGTGTCATTGCAAATGGTGAGATTTCATTCTTTTTGATCACTGAGTAATATTTCTTAGTATATATATATATATATATACACACACTATATATACATACAGTGTATATATATACACATGTGTATATATATACAGTGTGTATATATATTTGGTGTATATATACGTATATATAACGTATATATATAGTGTATATATATAACGTATATATATAGTGTATATATATATAGTGTATACATATAGCATATATATATATAGTGTATATAGTGTATATATAGGGGCGCCTGGGTGGCGCAGTCGGTTGAGCGTCCGACTTCAGCCAGGTCACGATCTCGCGGTCCGGGAGTTCGAGCCCCGCGTCAGGCGCTGGGCTGATGGCTCAGAGCCTGGAGCCTGTTTCCGATTCTGTGTCCCTCTCTCTCTGCCCCTCCCCCGTTCATGCTCTGTCTCTCTCTGTCCCAAAAATAAATAAACGTTGAAAAAAAAAAATTTATAGTGTATATATATAGTGTATATATATATAGTGTGTATATATAGTGTATATATATAGTATATATAGTGTATATATATAGTGTATATATATATATATAGTGTGTATATATATAGTATATATATAGTATATATATATATATAGTGTGTGTATATATATATATATATATATATATCACATCTTCTTTATCCATTCACCAATCATTCATCAATAATTCCACTCAGATGTGGAATTTAAAAACAAAACATGTGAGTATAGGAGGGGAAGGAAAAATAAAACAAAAACAGAGATGGAAGCAAACCATGAGAGACCTTTTTTTAAATTTTTATTTAAAAAAATTTTTTTTAACGTTTATTTATTTTTGAGACAGAGAGAGACAGAGCATGAATGGGGGAGGGGCAGAGAGAGAGGGAGACACAGAATCTGAAACAGGCTCCAGCCTCTGAGCAGTCAGCACAGAGCCCGACGCGGGGCTGGAACTCATGGACCGTCAGATCATGACCTGAGCTGAAGTCAGCCGCTTAACCTACTGAGCCACCCAGGCACCCTGAGAGACTCTTAATGATAGAGAACAAACTGAGGGTTGATGGAGGGAAGTGTGTGTGTGGGGGGATGGGCTAGATGGGTGATGGGCATCAAGGAGGGCACTTGTTGGGATGAGCACTGGGTGTTACATGTAAGTGATGAATCACTAAATTCTACTCTTGAAACCAATACTAGACTATATGTTAACCAACATGAATTTAAATTAAAAAGAAGAAAAAAAAATCATTTCTACCCCATCATCTGCACTTCAAATTTTAAACACCATGGGAGATGGTAAAAATGAATGATTACTACTCTTGGGGGAATTTACATCCAATGTGATCGAGAATAAAAATAATTGTAATAAGGCAATAAAAATAATGCATTAAGGGTAGATGAACTTGTAGAAATAATAGCTTAAATGCATGGCAGTGGGAAAAAGTGTTACACTATCTTCAGGATGCCTTAGTGAATTTTTCCCAGCCAAAAGGTCAGGCTCAGAAACCCAATTTGTTGGCCCACTGGGGGACTGATTTTTTGGGAATAGATTCACAATAACCAAACTCACAGAGCCTGAAGTACAAAAAACAAAACAAACAAAAAACCCCCCACCAATTTATTTATGCACAGGAAGATAAGTGCCAAAGGGTTCAGACATGTCCTCCAATGGTCACCTTATGTCCATGGCTACTCCATACAGAGAGCCAAATTTCCATATGAACGTAAGCTCACCCAGTTTTTTTAGAAAATATGTGCAATATGGCAGTCCATTTGGCATGTATTCTCTGTGAAGCCTATCAACCTGCAACACCAGTTTACCATCCTGATCATTGTGCCTGGAATGAGAAAGAGGAGAGAGAGTGTAGTCAGTTACAGGAATCACTGCCTCCACAAGGTAAAGACATCCTCTCCCTTGGACACTATCGGGATGGGTCCAGTGATATTTGCCTCTGGCACTCTCTCTTCTCTGGGCTCGCAAGGATGCACAGCTCTGTATCTGATAGGTACATTTTTCCATTACAGTCAAGCATTATTCTCGAGGAGCAATTCATGTTACTTAATCCTAATAATAAAATCAATAATTACAGTAGTAGTGTTTATTCAGGGCTTATGATGTGCTAGGCACAGTTCCAAGTGCTTTAGATACCTTGACTCATTTAATCCTCTTTAAAGTGTCTTTGTCTATCTGCATCTCTGCCCATCACCTTTTGGGTTGACAGCTCATCTATCTGAGGGAGCAAACATTTATTTTGGTTACATGTTCTTCGAATGGCCCTCAATATAAGCACAACATAGGGAAACACGATTAAAATACATCTGGAATTCTAAGTAGAAGTGATTCATTTTGATTTGGTCAATAAGGGAAACTTCTCATGAAGGAGGAGAAGGGGCTTTAAAGCATGAGTAGAATTTTTATGGACAAAGATAGTAGATTCCTCTGTTTAAAAAAATAAATGCTAGTTTTCCTGCTTAAAAGGTTAAGTTTCACTTAACTGGAAAGTTTGCTTACCTTAAATACCTAATTCCTCAACAATGCCTGACATACATAAAATGTATTTTATCAAGAATTTGCTATTGAGGGTAGGAGTGGGGAGAGAATGTGGGTATTTTCCTGTAAAATTCTTACTGTCTGATGAAATGCAATGGAAATAAAACTGTCATTGGCCTTTTCTTTCTAATTGTGTTTCTCACACACTTGCACAATTTATATCTTAATGAAAATGAGGCTCAAGAGATGCTTTTAAAATCCAGGAGGGGAAATTAGAATGCATTGCCCTTGATTGCAGCATTTGCTATTTTAGAGGCAAAAAGCATCAGTGGTCACTTATAAATTGCAATTCTGACCTACATTGCAGAGCTAGCAAATTTCCCTGGGAAACTGATCAATAACACACTGTTAAAAGAGGACCTTGCTAACAGCCTTTCCTTAGAAAAAGCTAAGGTTGACAGTCCAGGAAACAATTTGTTCCATTTCATCTACTCTCCTGGAATTCCCGGCAGGTAAAATTGCTCCCTATTTCATAGTCACAAAAGCATTTCACTTAAAGTAATAATGTTGATGTTGATTGCATTTTTAATATACACGTTATAAATAGAGACTTCTGGTAATTGTGGCAGCAGGCTAGCTATGTCTGACACCTTTTCTGCCAGTTTCTAGTACAGTGCCTTGAAAAGATGCACAGAGAAGACTGAAATGGGCAGCGGAGGAGGAGACTAAAGGAAAGACAGAGTCAAACTCTGCATGAAATTTCTGCTATCATTGATGGAGATGACTTGAGATTATTATTTTTGGACTACACCCAAGTTTTTACATCGGAACAAAATAAAGAGCCTCAAGGGTGATAGGAAGAGCTATTAAGTCAACCCCCATGTAAAGGCAGCCATATTCTCAATAAGGATTTCCCAACCTTGCCCCGTTTACACTTGGAACCAGGTAATTCTTTGCTGTGGGGGGCTGTTCTGCGTAACATGGGTTGTTTAGCAGCATTCTGGTCTCCACCCATTAGATGCTAATAGCACTTCATCACCCCTGACTGTGATAACCAAAAATGTCTGCAGACGTTGCCAAATTCCTTGAAGGACAAAACGGTTCACATTCGGAACCATGACCTGATGACTACCATAGCTAGAATCTCAAGTTTCTCTGTCTCACTTTCCTTTTGTCACCATTGATCCTTCTCTTTCCATTTTTTATGACAAGAAATCAAGGTGGGGACAAAGTGTAGTGCCCTGAAGTCTGAAGCAACTTGCCCCTAAAAAAAGTTTAGGACATGCGTTTGGATCAACATTCATCTTTGGTGCTAGAAGTTGAATTAATGGTTACCTCTGAAGATGTGGATGGTATCAGGGCGATGTAAAAGTCTTTTCCAGTGATGAGAGTGTTCCATATCTCGATCTAGGTGGTGGTTATACATCTGGGTAAAACTTACTGAGCCCAACTGTTAAGCTGAGTATAATTATGGTATTTAAGTTATACCTCAATTAACAATAAAAAAATGAGGCTCAGGGGGCACCTGGGTGGCTCAGCTGGTTGAGCGTTGACTCTTGATTTTGGTTCGGGTCATAATGTTAAGGTTATGAAATTGAGCCCCTCGCCAGGCTCCGTGTTGAGTGTGTAGCCTGCTTGGGATTCTCTCTCTTCCTCTCTCTCTGCTTCTCCTCCCACATTTCTCTCTCTCAAAACAGAACAAACAAGCAAAGCAAAACAAAACAAAACTTAGGATCAGGAGAAAGACACCCTACTATAGGACATATTAAAAAGAAAAGGACAAGGGCCATTTCTTTGAAGATTGATATTGAGAGTGTACCTCTGAAAATGAAAAGACATGGATATTTTATTTAAAAAGATTTTTTTAATGTTTATTTATTTTTGAGAGAGAGAGAGACAGAGTGAGTGAGGGAAGGGGCAGAGAGAGAGGGAGACACAGAAGGACGTGACATTTTAAAATGCATGTGCTTACATCAAAGAGTTCCATTTGGGAAGGCTAATAGATTTCCACATAGCCCGGGCTGGTGGTCCTCTATCATCCCTCTGAAGCAAAGGGAAAATTAGCATTAAAAGCTGGGGCCATAATTCAACCTGTTAGCATAATCTTGGAGAAATTTCAGCAAACTGCAAAGATAATGGATTAGTTTAAAAAATGCAATAGATGGTCCATCCGAGCTGTGCCAACAGAAATGGACTGCACATGCCCAGAAAGCTGAGAAGAGAAGCTCCATATCAGCCACTCATCTGTCTCCTTGAGTGCAAGCATTGTACTAACCAGTATTCTGTGCAGGTCTTCTGTTGCACAGGTACTGTTTTCTGAGGCAGAGAATTCTCTGTTCCCCCTCTCCCTGTGACACCAATGCTTTTACATCTAAATCTAGAAAGCAAAGTCCCAGAAAATGCTGGGGCTAGAGTTGAGTGCAAGGGGCCAGCAATGGCTCTTGGTTTTGGCAAACCAAGAGTTTCCACAAGTAAAGCATTGTATCCAGAGCAATAACAGTGAGCAGGACGTATGCATTTACTAAAGCTTGACATGAGTGTAGAGGAGTCAGAATTCTAGACTGGTCATTATAATTCTAGACTGGTCAAATCACGTATCATCTGTGTAACAATGGTGTGTCTCCTCCATTTCGTGACAGTTCCTCCAGCCCTTGCTTGTAACCCGGATTCCACCTCTGATAGAGATTTGGAGACTGCTGCTGTTGTCCAAGGCACCGGTAAGTACAGAGCGGTCAGGGCATCCGCCAGCTCACAAACCTCAGCGGATCCATATTTTGGGCATGATTGTTCTGTTCAGAGTGGCTGGTATGTCCAAAACCGTTAGTATGCTGGATGTAGTTAATATGTTAGATCTTCACTATCTCCACAATGGTCAATTTTTCCAGGCCAGTGAGGTCTGTCTTGTTTGTTTGCATTTCTGTGGCATATCTTCTAGGTCTAGATGAACTCTAGTATGTTTAGGAGGCCAAGTGGTCTGAGAACACACACCGCTGGGCTTTGGGTATGTGCGTAGGGCTTCTCTGTGCCACTTTAGGACATGGCTTTCTACTGGCCCAGGATTGTTCCTCTGCCTTGGCTGTTCTGTCTCTCAAAATAGCCACCTCTTCTTCTAAACAAGGGGACATCACCCCTACCTTGCCTCCTCCTAGTTCTAGCTGCTCTCCACCAGGGAAATCTACAGAGCTGAGACAGACTGGTTGTACCTTGCCCAAAGCTCAGTGTGGGACCCAGCAGACCTGGAAAGCAGGAGTTCTATTCCCTTGGCCCTTTTGCAGTCTCTTGCTTCCTCCTAGCACTGCCATGGATTAAGGGACTCCCCATCAGGGCCCTCAAAGTACTTCTCTCCCACTATCCTGCTTTGTGGAGTAAGAGCCATTATTTATTGATTCATTTATTTATTAGTTCAGGCATTCATTTAGCAAGCATTTATTATTTATTATTTGGCATCTCCTGTACTCCAGGCATTTTTTTTTTATGGGTGAGGGCTATAGCAGTATATGAGACAGACATGATGCTTATTCTCCTGGAGCTTGTTTCCTGGTGGAGAAAACAGACTAAGTGAATAAACAACCAAGCAAGTACATATTAGATGGTGATAAGTGCTATGACATAAATGAGACCAGGACATGTGATATTGACTGGGGTGGGTTGGGGGGTACTTAGAAGTTGTAGTTGTTTGCCTACACAAATAAGAATACCAAAGACTTAGGAAAGTCTTAAAATAGCCACAAGGTTATTAACTGCAGTCGATACTTGATAGCCTATTCCCATCCATTTTCTCCTCGTTCCTTCCTGAACAAACCATTTCCCAAGTGTCCATGTATCTCAGGAAAGGCTGAATAGACCAGCTTCAGTGGTTGGCCCGGATTAATACCACCCAGTCATAGTAACGTCATCCCGTTACCAGTGATTGGTCTAAGAATCTGGGCCGAAGTCCATCAGCACATAATATTTTCATGTCACTAGAGATCTGTTCAGGAATGGGCACACAGTTGAGTTTGAGGCAGTGAGATGTGCAGGCGAGTTTTCTGGAAATGTCTGGGAAGTTTTCTACTCTTAATGGGAAAAGATGGTCTGTCAGTCTTAGTAGATATGAATGAGGAAGTAAGCAGACAGTTGTTCTTGGCAGGTGGCCTATGGCCATGAAAGAAATACTCCCGAGAGGAAACCTGACATTCAGGGTAGCTGAATGTAGAGAAGGAAATTATCTGGTTCTTGAAGATATTAGTGAACCTCTAAGCCATCGCATCTTGAAAGCCGGCTCTTCAGCGCTCATCATTTCTGTGTGCAGGTCACAGCTTCTGTCTATGGACAGAGCAGGCCAGAAGAGCCCCTAGGGGCAGCCCTCAGCCAGTGATGGACGGGAAATGATGGATAACTACTGCCACTTTTCTGTCCCTTGCTTGAGACGATGGAGCATGTTATGTGACTGAGAAGCCCTCTCCAAGTACGGAACATTTACTCTGAGCTGTGAATGACACAGCAAGAAGTCATCAGTGAGAAGAGTGCTCACAGCTGAGGCACTAAGTTGGCAAAGACTCTAGTGTGGGATTTTTTTTTTTTTTGGAATATTCTAGAATCAGAAAAAAAGGGCAAGTCTGACTGGACCCTGGTTAACAAACAGCTGGGGTTCTAGAATCAGGTCATCTGGCTGAGTTCTCCTCATCTTGTTTTCAGTTTGGTCTTTAAAAAAAATCTTAATGTTTATTTATTTTTGAGAGAGAGAGAGAGAGAGAGAGAGAGAGAGAGACAAAGTGTGAGCAGAGGAGGGGCAGAGAGAGAGAGGGAGATACAGAATCTGAGGCAGGGTCCAGGCTCTGAGCTGTCCTTAGAGAGCCAGATAGAGCCAGATAGAGCCAGATGCAGGGTCAAACTCATGAACCATAAGGTCATGACCTGAGTCAAAGTCAAATGCTTAACTGTATGAGCCACCCAGCTGTTTGGTCTTGAGCAAGTGACTTAATCCTTTTGAGTTTTAATTTCCTCATCTTTGAATTTTTTAATGTTTTATTTATTTTTGAGAGAGAGAGAGAGAGGCAGAGAAAGAGGGAGACACAGAATCCATGCTGACAGCTCAGAGCCCGACACGAGACTGGAACCCATGGACCAGGAGATCATGACCTCAGCCAAAGTCGGACTCCCAACCAACTGAGCCACCCAGATGCCCCAGTTTCCTCATCTTTAAATGGGCTTAATAATAGCACCTACATGACAGCATTGAAATGAGCATCAAATGAGCTCATGAATGTGAAATGTCTATCACCATCCCTGGCCCAGAGTAGTTATTCTCTCATCTAGATTAGGTTTGCTTGCCTGATGTTTAATTTGCCATGGGTTTTACATCTTTTCGGGGTCATTGTCAGAGTAAAATCACACCCAGCTGAACCTTGGGACAACGGAGCGCAAGCCACTGTGCTGGTGAACCCTGAGGAACCATAACTAAGCGTTTTATAGAGAGATTATCTGGATCCATTTAGACCTCTAGCTGTCCCAGAGTTTTTCTCCTTGCCAGGAAATCTGGAAGCATGCCTTAAAAGCTTGCAAAATGTGAGATCAGTGTACCATCTGAACAAGAACACATCGCCTCTCCTGCAGCAGGATTTGCTACAAACCATCAAAAGATAATCTGTCAAAATCCATAAAGATTGTGGCTCACGTTAAACACTTTGGCCAATTTGTCCATCAAATAAAATTAAAAACCTACTATAGAACCGCTTTTGAGAAAAACTGGGAGTGCTAATATGGTTCCACCGGAACACACATAATTTATTACCTGACGGACCTTGACACATGTATTGTGGTTGCTTTGAAAGCCTATCTCTGGACCATGCACTGTAATGGATATTATTACTGTAGGAAAGATTCTGAAGCCGCCCTTATGTCAAGGGCCATCAAAAATACTACTGCCGCCTGGGTGGCGCAGTCGGTTAAGCGTCCGACTTCAGCCAGGTCACGATCTCGCGGTCCGTGAGTTCGAGCCCCGCGTCGGGCTCTGGGCTGATGGCTCAGAGCCTGGAGCCTGTTTCCGATTCTGTGTCTCCCTCTCTCTCTGCCCCTTCCCCATTCATGCTCTGTCTCTCTCTGTCCCAAAAATAAATAAACGTTGAAAAAAAAATTAAAAAAAAAATACTACTGCCTCCTTAGGTCATGTTTAGCTTCCAAGAAAGTTACTGCAAGATTACATGTGTTAATTGCACAGATGACTCTGTGCATTAATTCCAGAGCTTACCTTTAAGAGAGAGTAATTCCACCCAGAATCCTTTAGCAGTGGGCTATCAAGAGTCCCCGGGGAAAGCCATTGGATTTAATAACATACATTTGCTTACAACAAGGACCAAGAAAATGTGTTTCAACTCACCTGCCAGTAGTGATATTTTCTTTAGAGCTCTCTGTCAGAGAAGTCTAATGAAATAATAGAAACTGCTAAGTAATATTTATCTAGGGCAAGTAATATTTTTCTGACCTCTAGTAAGCTCTTAAAGTAATCAAGCCTCTCCACATTTAGTCAAAAGCAATTAAGTGACCATTTCTGGCTACCATCATGTACTAATTTTCTATAATTATGTGCTATTAAAAATGAAATGAAGAGATAGAGAAGGATTCAATTTCTAGGTCTGCCATTACTCATTTTTAACCTCATTAATAATAATAGTAATAATGACAGTTAATATTTATGACAGCTTACCAGGGCCCAAGCATTATGCTGGGCACTTAACTCATACCCATCTCATTTGATATTTGCAAAAAGTCTTTGGTAGGAAGATGTATTATCATCATATCTTTTTAATCGTTTGGAAATAGAGACTTTAAAAGGTTAAGACACTTGTCCAGGGTCATACTCCTAGTGGATGATTTGATCGCATTTCTAGCTTGGGCTGCCTGGCCTGGCAGATCACGTATTCACTGTATATTAAGCCTCCTCTGGGGCCTAATTTACACATGTCTATTTGTCTTTCTCTAGGTAACTGAGGAGATCAGGGCTCAGCCCAGACTGAGTTTCCAGCCTCGGTGTGGGAATGAACGGGGCTCGCTCATAGCTGAGGGAGTTCCATAGCACACGGAACAAAGTGTGAGTGGAACCAGGGCTCCAGGCTATGGGAGGGCAGGGCAGGGAGCAAGGGGATGTCTGAAATGCCCACTCCTATTTCATGGACCCAAAGGGAAGGATCAGCAGCAGAGACCCCGTAAGACTGAGCAAGCAAGTTTGGGAGGCAGACTGGAGAGATTGCCAGAGTCTGGGGAGACTTGAGTAATGGGAACTTACAAGAGGATGCTCAGGGCAGTGGTGTTGGTGGGGTAGAGCTGTAAAGGCTGCTGGGCACAGTCCTGTGATCCCTGAGACAGAGGTATTCATGTTTTCTCTCTTACATAGATCTTACGAAGAGCAAGGGAAGTAGCAAAGTGCAAGCACTTTGTAAACTCTGAAGTGAGAATGTTATTAACAAGGATTGTGTGTGTGTGTGTGTGTGTGTGTGCACAAGGCAAAATAGTCTGTGCATCTGTGTTTCTCTCACAGCAGCCTGGGGGCTGTGGATTACTGCCCTAGGAGCCCTCGGTTAGGTTTAGGATTTGGAGAAGAGTAAGAAGATAGTTTTGGTAAGGAAAGAGAGGAGAGAACTATCCAGCTTTTTGTCATGCGTTCTCGAATGTATCAAGAGGAGAACCAAAACTATTGCAAAGTAATGGTCCGAGTTACGGTTTCTAGGTGATCATATGT